CTTAATCTCAGGAAACAAACAGGGTTGCTGGAGTGGAGGTGGGTGGGAGGGATGGGGTGGCTGAGTGAAGGACATTGGGGAGGGTATGTGCTATGGTGAGTGCTGTGAATTGTGTAAGACTGATGAATCACAGACCTGTACCCCTGAAACAATAATACATTATATGTTAATGAAAAAGAAAACTCTAAATGTTGACAGGATCCCAATGGCAAGAATGAAAGTGTTAGAGGGGGACAGGAATAATCACAAACCTGTATTATAGTAATTAATTGTGAATTACTATAGCTAGGGTATAGGATATAATTATGCCTATGATCATAGGAATGCTAAAACGACATAATTTGGATATTTCATTTGAAATGTTCCTTTTAGAAACAGGCAACAAGGGGTGCCTGGCTGTTTCAGTCACTGGAGCATACAACTCTTGATCTCAGGGTTGTGAGTTTGAGCCCCAGGTTGGGTGTAGAGTTTATTTAAAACAAAACAAAACAAAAACAAACATGCATGGGACGCCTGGGTAGCTCATTCGGTTAAGCGTCTGCCTTCATCTCAGGTCGGTCCTGGGATCGAGTCCCTAATCAGACTCCCTGCTCAGTGGGGAGCCTGCTTCTCCCTCTGCCTGCAGCTCCCCCTGCCTGTGCTTGCTCTCTCTCTGTCTCTGACAAATAAAATCTTAAAAAAAAAAAAAAAATATGCAGTAAGAACAGGAAAGAATATGTTCCTTTCTTCCAGTCAAAACTTGGTTTTCTTTATGAACAAATGATTATCAAAAATACTTAAATATAGAGGTGCCGGGTTGGCTCAGTTGGTTGAGTGTGTGACTCTTGATCTCCGGGTCTTGAGTTCAAGTGCCACATTAGGCGTAGAGCTTACACGAAAAAAAAAAAATGAAAAAGAAACAGAATTTAGTAATGTTAAAGTGCAGATTTGGAAAAATACTTAAATGTCAATGCAATATACAACTGAAAAATTGACAGAAAATGATTAGCTGAAGATATTATTGACAGAAAATTGATTTTAAAAAAATTATTGGGGTGCCTGGGTGGCTCAGTCGTTTAAGTATCTGCCTTTGGCTCAGGTCATTATCCCAGGGTCCTGGGATCGAGCCCCACATCGGGCTCTCTGCTCAGCGGGAGGCCTGCTTCTCCCTCTCCCTCTGCCTGCTGCTCTCCCTGCTGGTGCTCCTTTGCATGCTCTCTCACTCAGGCTCTCTCTCTCAAATAAATAAATAAAATTAAAAAATAAAAAATAAAAATAAAACAAAAATTATAAAGCATGTGAAACTACCAAAGAAAAAAACATTAAAAATTTTTAAATGCCCAAGTGTTATTCTTTTTTTTTAAGATTTTGTCAGAGAGACAGAGCACAAGCAGGGGGAGGGGCAGAGGGAGAAGCAGGCTCCCCTCGGAGCAAGGAGCCCAATGCAAGACTCGATCCCAGGACCCTGGGATCATGACCTGAGCCAAAGGCAGACGCTTAACCAACTGAGCCACCCAGTTGTCCCCAAAGTGTTATATTTTTAAAATACAAACAATAAAAAGAATAAAATTAGCATAAAATATCAATATTCCATTGTCTTAACAGGAAAACTACTTTATCAAAGTAAAATTAAAACAGTTTTATCAGATCAATTGTTGCCTGACATTTCCAAACACACTTCTTAGAGAAACTGTCCAAAGCACCTGTAACATAGCTGTGTTTTTATCACTTGCTCTCTTCATTCTGTCTCCTTCTGTCTTAGCTAATTTGGGTTTAAGGTGACCACCTAATCTCAAGGAAAGTTAGTTTGTAGTGGTATGACCTACCAGATGAAAAACAAAACAAAACCAATCATATCTGATCATTGGGAAATTATATTCAAAGTAAGAAAAGCATTTGCAAAATGGAATTAGCAAAGAGGACAGTGTGTTAAAATGATCATTTATCTTAGTTATACTAAGATGGTATTTTTTAAAAAACATTTTATCCTCTGAATTAAAGCTACATTTTATCAAGTAAGGGGCAAATTTGCATCAGAATCACCTGATGCACCTCCCCTCCAGTAACCTTCAGTTTGTTTCCCAGAGTCAAGAGTTTCTCATGGTTTGTCTCCCTCTCTGATTTCTTCCCTTCAGTTTTCCCTCTCTTCCCTTATGATCCTCTGCACTATTTCTTATATTTCACATATGAGTGAAACCATATGATAATTGTCTTTCTCTGACTTATTTCACTTAGCATAATACCCTCCAGTTCCACCCACGTTGATATAGATGGTAGGTATTCATCCTTTCTGATGGCTGGGTAATATTCCATTGTATGTATATATATCACATTTTCTTTATCCATTCATTTGTTGAAGGACATCTCGACTCCTTCCTCAGTTTGGCTATTGTGGACATTGCTGCTATGAACATTGGGGTGGAGGTGCCCCTTCGTTTCACTACCTCTGTATCTTTGGGGTGAATACCCAGTAGTGCAATTGTTGGGTTGTAGGGTAGCTCTATTTCATTATTACTTTGGTTTGCATTTCCCTGATCTGTAGTTTAAGTTTGAGCTTTTTTTTTGAACGGCTGTGCCTATCATTTGTCCATTTTTCCATGAGAGTAGTAGTAATCTTTTTCTTTTTCTCTATTAATACTTAAGCCTTCCACATATTACATTGTCGTCTATTTATATGTGTATCTTTTTATAATCTATTATTTGTCTATAGACTTGGTAGTGTATTTTTCATACCAAAATTTTTATTTTTATGCATTTTCTGAGTTTTCAGTCTTGGATAACGAGCTCTTTCTTGACTCATGACAATACATATAGTCACATGTTTCTCACAAGATTTTTTTTTATTTAAGTAATAAAACGAATTTATTTCTGTATGATACAAAAGATGCATGTGTTGTATTTTTTTAATTTTTTAAAATTTATCTGTCAGATAGAGAGAGAGCATAAGCAGGGGGAGCAGCAGAGAGAGGGAGAAGCAGACTCCCTCCTCAGGAGGGAGCTGATGCAGGACTTGATCCCAGGACCCCAAGATCATGACCTGAGCTGAAGGCAGACGCCCAACCAACTGAGTCACCCAGGTGCCCCCATGTGTTATATTCTTGAGAATTTTATTTTCCTCAAGATAGTCATTTGTGCCAGCATCATTTATTAAAAATCCTTTTTGATAGTAGAATAAATTTCTATCTTATCATATGTTAAATCATATTACTAAATATTTCTGAAATTTCAATTTTTTAATTGGTCTACTCATTACTTCATTATACCTAATAACTGTAAGACTTAGTGAAAGCTGTAGCCAAAGGAAGTTTATAAACTTAAACACCTTCATTATTAAATCCAAAAATGAAAAATAAAGGAAATAATAGCTCACATTTAAAAATTAGGAACAGGGGCACCTAGCTGGCTTAGTCAGAAGAGCATGTGACTCTTGATCTCAGGGTTGTGAGTTCGAGCCCCTGTTGGGTATAGAGATTACTTAAAAATAAAATCTTTAAAAAAAAATTAGGAACAGAACAATAAAATACTTCTTCCCCAAACAATTTAGAAGAGGAAATTAAGAAAGATAAAACTTAATGAACTAGAACTTCCTCCATACTACCATATCCTGTCACAAAAACACTCACAAATGTTTTTTTAAAAGGTAAACTCTTCAGCCTGATCAAGGAATAAATAATGAGATATATAATATAATAAAGTAAATAGAATAAGGAGAATAAAATAAATAAGAGAAATAAAATGGAGAATAAATAATAAAGATTTATTATCTCCTTTAAATAATAAGAGAGTTATATATTATGTTTTTACACATAAATCTCTTTAAATGTATGAATTCATTTTTCACAATGACTGTATGAAGTATGTACTATCATTACTCCCAATTTACAGAGGAACAAATAAAGGAGAAAGGAGACATATCCAAATACAGAAAAACTTTAAAAAGAGACATATTGGCAGGGGAGGGGGGATTGCCTGGGTGGCTCAGTTAGTTGAGCATCTGATTCTTGATCTCAGCTCAAGTCTTAATCTCAGGGTTGTGGGTTCAAGACCCATGTTGGGCTCCATGCTGGGTGCGGAGCCTACTTTAAAAAAAAAGAGAGAGAGAGAGAGACATTAGGGGCCCCTGGCTGGCTCAGTCAATAGAACACGCAACTCTTGATCTTGGGGTTGTGAGTTCAGGCCCCACATTTGGGTGTAGAAATTAGTTAAAAATAAACTCTTTAAAAAAAGAAAAGAAAAGAAAGCTACACAAGGCAGTTTGTGTCTCTTTTTGCTCACCATTATATCCCCAGCTCTTAGCAGTATGTAGTACTGAGTAAGTAATTAATGGAATAAATTATGTAGAAGGCAAACTTATAAGGGTTCTACATAGTCTGTTTAATGCTCCTTTCTTCCTTTTTGATCTTATTCTGGCTTACTTTAAATAAATAGAGACATATAACATGACCAGAAATTTGAAAGCTCAGGGGAAATAAGTGGATTCTTAGAAAGTTAAAAATATCAGAACTGATTCAAGAAGTAGACAACTTGAGGCCCCTGGGTGGTTCAGTCAGTTAAGCGTTGGACTCTTAATTTTGGCTAAGGTCATGATCTCAGGGTCATGAGATTGAGCCCTGCCATGGGCTCTGTGACTGTTTAAGATTCTCTCCCTCCCTCTCCCTCTGCCCCTACACTCCTCGCCCCACACTGTGCTCTCCCTCTCTAAAAAAAAAAGTAGACAACTTGATTACACTATGTACATTGAGAAGACAAGGGGTTACTGAGCTACCCCTGAATATGAACAAAGACCCTATCAATTCTCGTATTTGAAATATTAAACATGTAAATCTGAGATTATTTTAAAAATTCCAGCCCATAGAAATGGGTGAAAAACTCCCAATTCATTTATGAGACCAGCATACCTTTAATAAAAAACTCTAGTAAAGATGGTGTCAGAAAGGAAAACTAAGGAATTATGTAATTTATGATTAAAGATTGACAAAATCTACTGCGCACGCGTGGCTTGTGAGTGGACGATCCCGGGCGCCAAGGTTATAGACAATTTGTGAAATGAGTGACTCTGAGGATGACCATATCCCCCCGCTGTCTTCCCACACCTTAGCAGCCCTCCAGGAATTTTATGCGGAGCAGAAGCAACAAAGTGACCCAGGCAGGGATAATAAATATACATTGGAATAATAGAAGAGAACTGGCAGCTGAGCCAGTTTTGGTAGTCAGGACACCGCTTTGCGACTTGCAAAGGAAGCGATTGCAGCTGCTGGAGAAGGTGGCAGAATAGCCTGTGTGAGCGCCGCCAGTGTTTACCAGAAACTGAGAGCCCTACACAGAGAAGACTTTTCTGTATACATCTTTGAATATGACAAAAGATTTGCTATATACGGAGAGGAGTTTATCTTCTATGATTACAATAATCCATTGGATTTACCTGAAAAAATTGCACGTAGTTTTGACATCGTAATAGCAGATCCCCCCTACCTTTCCAAGGAGTGTCTCAGAAAAACATCAGAAACTATCAAGTATCTGACTCAGGGCAAGATTCTGCTGTGCACAGGTGCTGTCATGGAAGAAGACGCAGCAAAAATTCTTGGCATGAAGATGTGCAAGTTTATTCCAAAACACACCCGGACCCTAGGAAATGAGTTTCTCTGTTATGTGAATAATGATTCTGGGCTAGACCATGAAATCTAAATGCAGATAGTAATATAATATGTAAAGGATCCTGTGTGACATTTCTCTATTATTTCCTTGGTAGATTGAAAAGTTATAACCTCCTCCCCTCCCCTGCAAAGTGGGGCTCTCCCTGGCCTAATTTTCAAAAAAAAGAATATAACATCTCATTATGACTTCCTGACTGCAGGCATCTCTAGAACTCGGGATGCTTTTGCCAACTTGAATCCATGGAATTATAGTGGGAAGAAATCTTAGAACCTATCTAAAATCTGCTCTCCTCACCTAAGAACAGGTAAAAAACCGAAGTACAAACAGCTTAGTGGCTTGGCCAAGACCTGAATTAGGACCTAGGCCTCTGCCTCACGCGGTCTGTCCCCTTAACACGAGCCCGTTCGGACTCTACCCAGTGGACCGCTGATTGTTCACAGCAGCTTTCCTGGGGTGTCATAAGACTTGTGAAGGGGTCCGTCATCTGCTCCAGCCCCTCAAGGAGACACGACTTGCCTCCATGAAAGAAGTTGAGAATCCTTGGAACTAGTATCTGAAAGCCTCCTGGATGTTTCCTCCTCGCCCGGGTTCTTGGAGGGACGACAGGAACGTAGCCCAGGTGCCCTCTGTGCGCACACCGCCCCTGCACCCTCGGCTAAAGCCACAGCAATGCTCCAGGCCCTGGAGAAACTGAAACTGCCATCTGAAACCAAACACTATAGCAAAAAGGACGTGAGAAGCATGCTATACTGTTCTATTTAAAAAATTATTCATCATTCATCCACACCACCGCACATTACTGATACCTGCAACTTGGATGGCTTTCAAGGGCCTTGTGCTGAGTGAAAAAAGCCAGTCCCCAAAGCTTACATACTGTGTTTCTATTGATGTAACATTCCTGAATGGAGGGCAGATTGGTGGTTGGCAGAGGTTAAGGGGGTGGGGGGCGGGGATCAGAAAAGGGAGATCTTAGGGGAAGCAGAGCTCTTGTGCATCTTGATTGTGCAGTGGTTACACACAACTCCACAGGTGGCATTACATAAAACCTGCACACGCACGCAACACTGGTGAACTCCAAGTGAGGTCTGTGGTTGGTGCGCAGCGACCAGTTCCTGGGGGTGATTCTGTGCTTGGTCAAGATGTTCTCATTGCCGGCAACTGGGTAAAAGACACACAAGACCTCTCTGTAGTGTTTTTGCAATTTCCTGTGAATCTAGAATCATTTCAAAATAAAAACTTAAAAAAAGGGGGGGTGAAGAATAACACTTCCCCACCTCAGGTGACTTGCTTTGCTAACAAAACATGAAAGGAAGTACCGAGCAGAGCTTTATTTTCTCTCTGACATAGCTACGGCAGTTTTCCACAGACAAGCAGGTGCTTGAGCGGAGCGGTGGGCCTGCAGTGGATGTGGAGGGCGAGCAGGAAATACACATCTGCTTTTGAAAATCAGAGACTGTGGGATGGTTACTGCAGCGAAAACCCAGTCCGTCCTGGAGAGCCTGGTGCCCTGGCACCAGCGCTCAGGAAATGAGGCATTGGGGCGGGGGGCTTGCTCCCATCTGTTCTTTCTTAGCCTTGGGCGGTCCTACTTTGGGATAATTTTTAATTTACTTTAAAAATCACTTGGTATTTTTATGAGACATTTATATTTTTATCAGTATATCAGCACCTGGCACATGTGAAGTATTCAATAAGTGTTTGTTCTTTAAAAAATAAAAAAATAAAGATTGACAAAATCTAAATAAAACATTGGCAATTAGAATCCAGTAATAAGGAAACAAGTGATAACCAAGTTTAGGGATGTTCAATATGAGAAAATATGTCAATTGTTATCTCAAAGATTAAAGGAAGAAATTTATATGATCATATAAAAATTTAATTATTCATAATTAAATTATTCTCTAATCTTTGAGGTTAGAGAAATATGTTATAATATAGACTATAATATCTTAGTAACAAAATATATTAAATGGTGAAACACAACCAGGTAATTTAATATCAAGAACTATGGGCGCCTGAGTGGCTCAGTCGGTTAAGCATCTGCCTTTGGCTCGGGTCACGATCCGGGTGTCCTGGGAACGAGTTCCACATCGGGCGGGCTCCTTGCTCAGTGGGAAGGCTGCTTCTCCCTCTACCCCTCCCCCCCACTCACGATCTCTTCCTCTAAAATAAATAAATAAAATCTTAAAAAAAAAAAAAAGGAACTAGACAGGCTCTCATGCTACTCAACATTGTTTTTTCACTTACAGCAAATGTCCTAAGATAAGAGAATGAAATAACTGCTATAAAAACCTTGGAAAATAAGAGATGACTGTTTTATATTGAGTAGGGGACTATGCAACTAGAAAACTTAGGAAACTTTTTTTAAAAATTTGGCACATTGCTTTGATAAATAAATACACGATGAGACTCTAGAAAAGAAACTGGGGGGAAATTATTCACAGTAATGGCCGAGACCTATAAAATACTTAGAAATAAATTTTACAAAAAAGCATATGCCTTGAATGAGAAAACTACACAATTTGATTGATGGTCATAAATAAGACCTGCAGGAATAGATAATGAAGAACCATGTTTTTATTTTATTTTATTTTATTTTTTAAGGATTTTATTTATTTATTTGACAGAGAGAGACACAGCGAGAGAGGGAACACAAGCAGGGGGAGTGGGAGAGGGAGAAGCAGGCTTCCCACTGAGCAGGGAGCCCAATGCGGGGCTCGATCCCAGGACCCTGGGATCATGACCTGAGCTGAAGGCAGACGCTTAACGACTGAGCAACCCAGGCGCCCCAGAACCATGTTTTTAGATGCAATGGTATTATACTGTAGGAACATCAGTTCCGTTCTAATTTTATATAACTATAATTCAATTTTATACAATACCAGTAGTATTATTGTTTTATATGTAAAATCTCAAAGCTTATATATAAGGAAAAATGCCTGAGAGGAGCCAGGAAAAGAAATATCAGAATGTATGACAAAGCCGCTGTAAACAAATCAATTTGGAATCTGGAGAGGAAAACAGAATAAAATGAGGTGTGTTCAAACAGACTGAAGCAGAGCAAGACACAAGAGACCACATGAAAAAGAGACACCAACAACACACAGAGGGTGAAAATAACATAGCAAATGCTGAAGTGAGCCAGTAACCCAAGTGTTCATTGTGACCATGTCTCTACCTGCTGTTCATTTAGGTTGTTGGCTTTAGAATAAATTGTTGCTTATCATCAACAGTATTTGAAGTACTAATTAGCATATTATAACAGTCCTTCAGTTGTCTTCATATTAAATCATTAGAGACTTGGCTACAAATAGGATAACCACAGAACTCCTGAGGAGAAATTATTCTCTAGACACAACACCCGTCATGATTTCTTCAAGTTGTCAAGTAACCTAAAAAACCCAGGGCAAGACTAGGTTCATTTTTGGAGATTCCATCCTTCCTGGGATAGGCAATGGCTGTTTAGACTTTTTGACAGTGACTTCACTGAGAAGATTTTGGATTTTGCCCCTACATAAAACCCAGTTCCTACACAGCACCCTTCCCCTCTTTTCGTCCTCTGTCCCCTCCCTGCTACCCACATGCCTTTCTCTTCTCTCCCTCTCTCCCTTCGTCTTTTCCTCCTTCCCGCACACACACAACTGAAATGTTTCAGGAAAACAGGTTTTTTGGGTTGTTGTTGTTGTTGTTGTTTTTAAGCTCTACACCCAACATGGGGCTTAAACTCAAGATAAAGAGTTGCGTGCTTTACTGACCGAGCCAGCCAGATGCCCCAAGAAACAATTATTATATTTTCTTTTATTTTTTAAAGATTTTATTTATTTATTTGAGAGAGAGAGAATGAGAGATAGAGAGCACGAGAGGGAAGAGGGTCAGAGGGAGAAGCAGACTCCCCGCTGAGCAGGGAGCCCTATGTGGGACTCGATCCCAGGACTCCAGGACCATGACCTGAGCCGAAGGCAGTCACTTAACCAACTGAGCCACCCAGGCGCCCCAATTATTATATTTTCTAAAGAGAGGTATTCTGATAATTTGTTTTGGCTTTTTAAAAGATGTTCCTTAAAATTCACTACACTGATATTACCATCCACAGTTTGAATAACAGTAAGGTTTTAATCTTATATACTCCAAAGATTTAAGTACACAAGTAAAATTTTATCTACTGACAATTTGGATATGTTTATATACACTTTATAAATTATGAAAACTATTTTGGGGGGCGCCTGGCTTGCTCAATGAGAAGAGCATGGGACTTTTGATCTCAGGATTGTGAGTTCAAGTCCCATGTTGGATGCAGAGATTACTTAAATAAATAAATAAACTTCTTAAAAAACTTTTTTTAATTCCTAATTTTTTGGTTTAAAAATGTTATTAGAAGATAATACTAAATTTTGGGGGGTATATATTGAAGCAGATTGTTTTCTAATTCTGTTTATTGTAATCATTATTGGCATGATCAAATTGGCAATAACTAATACACTTATCTACATTTGTTTTATTTTTTTTATTTTATTTATTTTTAGATTTTGTTTGAGAGAGAGAGAGAGAGAGCATGAGCAGGGGGAAGGGACAGAAGGAGAGGGAGAAGCAGGCTCCCTGCTGAGCAGGGAGCCCCATGTGGGGCTCAATCCGAGGACCCTGGGATTATGACCCGAACCAAAGGCAGACACCTAACCGACTGAGCCACCCAGGCACCCCCTCTACATTTGTTTTAAAATGTCCAAAAGCAAAATTACAATTTCTGAGTGTATACAAAAATGACCTTAGATATTTTTATCAATTTGCTTGAATTAACTTAGCCTGGTTATCTTCACATTATTAATAAATATACAAATAAAATACTTAATCTCAGGGGTACATATTATTTCTTTGAAAAGACACGTTTTCTCACAGCAATTTTTTAAAGTAAACTTTACCCCTAACATGGGGCTTGTACTCATGACCCCCGAGATGAAGAATCGCATGCTCTACCAACTGAGCCAGCCAGGTGTTTCATCTCACACTAATTTTTATTTATTTTTTATTTTTATTTTCTTAGAAGATTTTATTTATTTATTTGACAGAGAGAGACACAGCGAGAGAGGGAACACAAGCAGGGGGAGTGGGAGAGGGAGAAGCAGGCTTCCCATTGAGCAGGGAGCCCGATGCGGGGCTCAATCCCAGGACCCTGGGATCATGATGTAAGCCGAAGGCAGACGCTTAATGACTGAGCCACCCAGGCACCCCTCACGCTAATTTTTAAAAAAGGACTTTTCTATTCAAGAATCATGTCATTCATGACTTTTCTAAGAGAAAGTAACTAAAAATTCAGAACTCTAAAATACTGAAAATTTTTAATTTTTAATTTTTAAAATATAAGCTTCTGTTTGAAGTATATCATGAATTATACAGGTCATGACTGACTGTATAGCTTGATGAATATATAGCCAAGGGAATCCACCTGTGTAATCACCACCAAGGTAAAAAAATAGAACAACACCAGCATCTCAGAAGCCTGTCACAATACCTCTTCTTCATCTTCCGACCCTTTTTAATACATCATTTTGAATATCTAGTAAACTAGATAAATTAGATTATTTAGATTATTAGATTATTGTTCAGCAAACTTCATTACCTACACATTCATGATAAGACTATTTATCCTGCCCCATTGATGCTGGGCTTGCTCATCTGACTTTCCCTGGCCAATAGAATGTGGGCAGAGGGGTGCCTGGGTGGCTCAGTCCTTAAGCATCTGCCTTTGGCTCAGGTCGTGATCCCAGGGTCCTGGGATTGAGCCCCGCATCGGGCTCCCTGCTCAGTGGGAAGCCTGCTTCTTCCTCTGCCTCTCCCCCTGCTTGTGTTCCCTCTCTCGCTGTGTCTCTCTCTGTCAAATAAATAAAAAATCTTTTAAAAAAATTATTAAAAAATAAAAACAAAGAATGTGGGCAGAACTAGCAGTGTGCTAATTCTGAGTTCAGACTTTAAGAGACACAGGATGTTTCTGACCTCTGACCCAAGGACAGTATACCCCAGGTAGCCACTGGACCTTCATCTTGAACCCCAGAATGAGACACTAGAACAGAGCTGAATTTACCAGCAGCCTGGATTAGAGTTGTCCCAGGAGAACTATATACTTGCCCAGGAGAAAAATAAATGCTTTTTGTTATATGTCATTGAGATTTGGTTGGCTACACAGCAAAGACTGACTAATATAATAATTATTTGGTAAATCTCAATAAAGCCTATGTGAGTGAACTCAGGCTCTTACTCTGTGAACACATTTAATGCTTTGATCTCTTCAAACTTATGTTTATTGTTAACTGTAGGATAATATTTAACTCTGACATATTAGACACTTCCTGGTCAGTGATTGCTTGATACTTCCTTGAGCTATTTCAAGAAACTACTATTTTTAGGGGCGCCTGGGTGGCTCAGATGGTTAAGCATCTGCCTTCAGCTCAGGTCATGATCCCAGGGTCCTGGGATTGAGCCCCACATCGGGCTCCTGGTTCAGCGAGGAGCCTGCTTCTCCCTCTCCCTCTGCCTCTCTCCCTGCTCATGCTCTCTCTCTCTCTCTGTAGCTCTGTGTCTCAGATGAATAAATAAAAAAAATCTAAAAAAAAAGAAAAGAAACTACTATTTTTAAAGCAAGAAAACAGCCATTACCAGTGTTTTCATTTATTTAACAAGCATTTTTTTTCAGGAGACTATTGTGTATCACTGATTTGTTTAAACAGTACTCCCCACACCAAATCTTTTGCTGATTTAAGTATTATATATAAAAAAATAAATATTATATATAGTAATTTTTATATTACATCAACATATCAACTTTGAATATTTCATTCATAACTTTTAGAGAAGATACAATTTATTTTCATTTTGACATTATTTATAAGAGGGCAATATCACAAATGTTTTAACACATATGAAACTGAAGGATAACTGGTGAAAATAATAATGTATAAGTATTGTGAAAATGCACTTTTTAGAAAAATGAAATAAACTCAAGACAATATGTTGTTTATTTCTACATCCTTATGTGTACGGCATTTCCAGAAGAGGTTAGTTCCAAATATAAAAAAAGAACTTTTAGAAAAATGAAATAAAATGTATATACAGATTCTTTATAAATATTTAATTATCTGTGGAATAGTGATTTAAATTTAAATTCCATGTTCCCATGGAGAGTTGGGCAAAGCCCCTTCTCTCCAATGACAAAGTTCTAAAATGTCCTAAAAAACTTATTTCTGAAGGACCTCCACTCTCAGGAATATGGACCTGCCAGAGCTCAAGTTCATTTAGCTCGGTTCCACTCCACAAATATTTACTGAGTGCATCCCTTTTTTGCCCCAGCTGATTCTGGATGTCCAAAGACAGGTAAGATCTCAGTGAGCTCACAGACAGGTAAATAAAACATTCAGTATAATATGAAGTGTACTAACATAAAGATCTGCACAAAATATCTCAGTGGGCATTAAATCCAATCTGAGAGTTGAATCATATTAATGATAATGTCTAAATAAGAATCAACAAACCAATTACTGAAAATGATACTTATAACCAATTAGGGATTTATAAAAATATAATTTTGCAGATTTTAAACACCACTAATTTTTTGGTGTATTTTCTGAACTCTTTACGTAGGCTTTGGAGAATGGAACTTTCTGAATTGTGACACTGAATTCTTTATGCAGATCATCTATTTATAACATATATATTTATGGTTTCCTGTCTTAAAATTTAACTCAGTCTTGTGGTGCCTGGCTGGCTCAGTTGTTAAGCGTCAGCCTTTGGCTCGGGTCATGATCCCAGGGTCCTGGGATCAAGTCCCACATGGGGCTCCCTGCTCAGCGGGAAGCCTGCTTCTCCCTCTCCCACTCCCCCTGCTTGTGTTCCCTCTCTCGCTGTGTCTCCCTCTGTCAAATAAATAAATAAAATCTTAAAAAAAAATTTAATTCAGTGTTGTTTTTCTACTTTCTCAAATCTTCTTTATTTTATTTATTTAAAAGATTTTATTAAAATTAAATAATATCCATAAATTCAAGTGTAATCATGTATTTAGAATATGCAAGAAAAATAGATATTCAATTACTTTTCTCATTATATTCCTAAACTATAGCAGGAAGACTTCTGTAGAGTAGGAAAAATTTTTAGAAGTTATATGTCATATAAGTTTCTATGAATTTTTTAATATTCAGATTTCATCAAAACAATATAAAAAGAAATTCCATAATTGACTTCTCGTATTATCCTGTTTAAAACAAAGCTAATTTCAAATAAGTTTTAGCACTGATTTTATTTTTATTTTTATTTTTTTATTTTTAAAGATTTTATTTATTTATTTGACAGAGACAGCGAGAGCAGGAACACAAGCAGGGGGAGTGGGAGAGGGAGAAGCAGGCCTCCCGCGGAGCAGGGAGCCCGATGCGGGACTCGATCCCAGGACCCCGAGACCATGACCCGAGCCGAAGGCAGACGCCCAACGACTGAGCCACCCAGGCGCCCGCGCTGATTTTATTTTTAAAGTTTTTTTTTCTTGCTCAAATATATTTACAAAAATATATATATATATATTTACAAACTTTTCTAGTATGTAGCAAACTCAAAATTATACATGAATGTATTCTTTTGAAAATATTTGTTTACAATATCTATTGGTGGGATTGATAATATGATGTTTGTAAACCTCTTTTTAGTTTGCAAAATGCTTTCATTTTTGCACTGTCTTAGTCTTTTCCCTGAGCAGGAGGTATTATTATCATTGCTATTTTATTGATGAGTAAATTGAGTCTTAGTGAGATTAAATGACTTATCCAGGTCACAGGCTTGGAGAGCCAGGCCTGGAGCCTGTTTCCTTCTCACACTATTCACTTCATTTATATAAGTTTAAACATAATTCTGCATTTCCAGAATGCCTTCACTCATTTGCTTTCTTTTAATTTCTACAATTTGGTTAGGTTACATCTGACCCATTTAAGTCTGAAAAAAATAACTGATTCTTCTTTGTCCCTTTTCAAATTACCGCACTGAGGTGAAGATCACTGTATATGGCAAATTAGATGGAAGATTTTTTTTTAAAAGATTTATTTATGTATTTTAGAGAGAGAGAGAGAGAGTGTGTACACATGAGTGGGTGGAGGGGTAGAGGGAGAGAGAGAGAGAAACCCCAGCTGACTCCCCACTGAGTGTAGAGCCTGAAGCGGGGCTCGATCTCAAGACCCTGAGATCATGACCCAAGCAGAAATCAAGAGTTGGGCGCTCAACTGACTGAGCCACCCAGGCACGACAGATTTTGTTTTTAAGTAATCTCTGGACCCAGTGTGGGTCTTGAACATAAAAGCCTGATATCAAGAGTTGCATACTCTACTGACTGAGCCAGCCAGGTGCCCTTGGAAGATTGTTTTTTAAGACATTTGACAGTTAAGTGTTTGAGCTGATGATCTTTGGTCACACTTGTGCTTTTGTTTCAGTTTTAATTATAATGCCGCTAGAACAATTCAGGAAAAACTAGCTGGGAATAAGGGAATAAGGCAAACCATAGTTGTACAGAAAATTCCAGGAGATAGAATGATAAAAAAATGTGTGGTGATCAGGTTAAGAAAAAATTTTTAAAGTATCTATGGGGGCTCAGTCAGTTAAGCGTCTGACTCTTGATCTCAGCTCAGGTCTTGACCTCAGGGTCATGAGTTCAAGTCCCTTGTTGGGCTCCAAGAAAAAAAAAATCAGACAAAATATCTATTGATAAATGACATTTCAGCTTTAATTTTAGTCTTTTATCTTGAAAATACTTCTAAAATATATTAGGCTACCTTCTTTCTAGAGTAAGTTCAGGGATGATGTTTAAAACATCATTCAGTCTTTTTAACAAAATCATTTATGATTTTACAGGGATCATGAAATATTAGTTTTTCATGATAAAGTATGGGAGATGCAGATGCTGATGAGATATGAAGATGGGCTAAGATATATCCTAAGGAAAAAATCCCAAGACTTTCTCTTTAGGGATCTGCTTCTTTTCTGTAATTTGTTTCCCTATAAATTCCAGATGATTACTATTAGTGCAAACTTACTAATAACTCAGACAGTGATAAAAAATTTCTTTTAGAAGTTAGTGTTGCAAATGTCTCACTTATTCATTAAATAATCACTTGAGGACCTATTTATTCCTTTTTTGTAAGATAGGGATAATGATAGAACTTTTCTATATTAATTGGGGTTCTTGGTTGAAAGCAACAGAAACAAACTCTGGCTAACTTATCCAGGAGAAGAATGTATTGGACAAGTATCATGTAGCTCACACAATCACTGAGTATGATGGAGAACTGGTGTGTAAGATGTGCAGGGCCATTCATTTAGGATGTCACTGTCAGCACTGTCATGACCAGACCTGGGTTGCCATAATTACCTCTACACCACTGTGAATTACCTCTATCTCAGCATCTTTGCATCACTTTGTCCAGATTCCAAGTTTCAGGTGAGAGCATTCAATTGAGTTAACTTGGGTCTCATGCCATGACTATGCCCTAGGTGCCAGATAGTGGCGAGAAGGACTTTGGCCAAACTCGGTTTCCCAAGTGTGAAGTGGGCCCTGCTCCTACCAAGACTCAAAATTAAGAATTCTTAGGACGCCTGGGTGGCTCAGTTGGTTAAGCATCTGCCTTCAGCTCAGATCATGATCCCAGGATCCCGGGATCAAGTCCCACATCAGGCTCCCTGCTCAGTGGGGAGTCTGCTTCTCCCTCTGCCTGCTCTGCCTGCTTGTGCTTTCTCTCTCTCTCCCTCTCCCTGGCAAATAAATAAAATCTTCAACAATAAATAAATAAATAACATTAAAAAATTAAGAATTCTCCACAAATGATGGGAATTAAGAAGCTAGGCAGGCAAAAAGCACATCCTCATTGTATTACCTCATAGGCCTGAGAATTTATTGGGATGATTTATGTAAAGTCCTTGGTATAGTGCTAGCACACAGCATTCAATACAATTCAGCAGTTATTATAATTCAATGAGTCAGGCATTGTGCTAATCTTCTAGGAATAAGAAAATATAATAGGGCAAAATTTCTAATTAAAAAGCTCAGTATTTTGGAGAGTTGTTACAGAGGGCAACAAGTATAAAAATGTAATGATAATACCACTTAATAAGTGCTACAATATAGGTATGAAGTGGGTGCTCTGGAAAACAGAGAAAAGAAAAACAAATTCTGCCAGACTCAGGACAGAGGAAATAACAGACTGAGTTTTGATGACTGAGGGGAGCATTATAAAAGGACTGGGCATGTGTACATTCCTATGACTAGGGTAAGTTCAGGATTATGAAAGATTCTGTAATCATATAAATGAGTTTTAACTGATCTGAAAGTCACCAGGATTTTGTAGAAGAGATGACATAATCAGATTTAAGAGGAGGGGTAACTCCACGAGTGGAGAGAGAATAGACTAGAATGAGCAGAGCCAATGTGAGGAGTCCAGACGCTGTGTTCAGTTGGGGGATACGTGTAAGTAAAATATCAATAGTGAAATAAGTGTTGGAAGAGATATATGCAATGAGTCCTGAGAGAGAGATGAAAAAGACCACTAAACTGCACCTAGGTGTTGGATAAGGGGGTTAAGGAAAACTTCTTCTTCCTTTTTTAAAGTGTATTTTTTTATTTTTATTTATTTTTAATTTATTTATTTGACAGAGAGAGAGCACAGTAGGCAGAGCAGCAGGCAGAGGGAGAGGGGAAAGCAGGCTCTCTGCTGAGCAGGGAGCCTGACACGGGGCTTGATCCTAGGACCCTGGGATCATGACCTGAGCCGAAGGCAGACGCTTAACCGACTGAGGCACCCAGGCGCCCCTAAAGTTTATTTTTTTATTTAAGTAATCTCTACACGCAAGGTGGGGCTTGAACTCACAACCCTGAGATCAAGAGCTGCATGCTCTTCTGTCTGAGTCAGCCAGGTGTCCTGGGAAAACTTCTTAGAGGGGACAAATAGTTTTTGTTCTGAAGGACTCATTGGATTTAGCCTGGCAACACTCCAATGTCATAAAGGGCGTAACTATCTTTTCTGAATACATTAGCACTTCAAAATGGCTTGTGTAAAGTATAAGAAATGGAAAGAGGCAGTGGGTGGAAATGAGATTGGATAGATAAGCAGGGCTAAGACAGTGGTCCAAAATGCAAATGATTCCAAAGACAGGCAAGTAACTGTGTGAAGAAGCCTGGTTTAGGACAGCTTTAGGGGGGTTTAGGACAGTGATGAACTGAGGAACAATGAAAAGGCATTAAAATTCAACTAAGAGAAAAAGCAAGAGAAATCCCCACTGTGCTTCTTAAACAAAAACAGTGTAAGGATCACATAACACATCTTAATTAATTTGGATTTTATACTAAGGGTAGTAGAATGTCACTATAGGAGTTTAAAAAGAGTAAGTAGACTTTTATAAAATATAAACCTGGTGGCAATGTACAGACTGGATTAAAAGGGGACAGGATTGCAGCCTGGTTAAATGGTTAGGTGGCTAAAGCAGTATGCAAAATCTGAAATGATGGTGGCTTGAAATAAGATAATGGTAGTGGCTATTAGGAAAAATTGGATACATTCCAGAGAGATGGAGCTTGAAGCAAAGGGACTCAGTAATGGACATGGGGAAAAAGAGCGAGAGAGAAAAAAAAATCACAAGTTATTACTCACAATAAACTATATCAGCTTCTATTGGTCTGCCATAGCCTTTTAATCTTAAATCCAAAATGAAGTCAAAGCAGTGAACTGAAATTACTCTTTCCTTATTCTTGTTTTTCTTTTTTTCCAATTTGCTTTGAAATGTAGTTTTATATACTTAAGATTTACCTCCTGGCAATCAGGAATTAAATTTCTGAGATTGCTGTAAATTATTTCCTTTCTTGGTTTCTCTTCCTCTTTCTCACTTCTCTTTTATTCCCAGTATTTTGTCTTAGTTAAATGCTAAATATCTCACCATAACTTAGTTTTCCCACCAAAAGAACTGTGGGAAAACTGAGTATCTGAAACTTGTCTCATCAGAATCTTGTAGATTGCCTGAAATATCCTAGTTGCTACTCAAAAATGTTGAGGAAAAAAGTGTAATTCTCATGTGTCGGTACTCTTTAACTTTTTTCACCGGAGACATTTAGCGTTACAATCATTACCATTTCCTTTCCTTAAGCTTCTTTTCGTTGTAAAGGCGACGTGTGTTTTCATCATCTAATTCAATTTTGCAAAGCTACTTCATATTTAATTTTCAAATGACTCACAGGTATGTCACTTATAAAACCAGTAAAATTTGAACGACAGAAGAGATTGGGTTCTAGTAAGTAAATGCAGTCCGGGGCCCAGAGACCCTCTGCTACCCAAAGCAGAATAGCAAGGTTGCTCCCGTCGCAGCGCAGCCCAGCCCCAGCCCACCCGACGGGAGCCTAGTTTGCAGCCTTCCTCCCTCCGCAACAACGCGGCGTCGTTCCCTCCAGTCCTCTAGTAAAACGCTGGGTCCTCGCCCCCTTCCTGAACAACTGTCTCCCTCCGTGAATAGATTCTTGCTGTTGCCGGACTGCACGGTCACCGCATCCAGACCGGAGAGAATTGGCTTCGCAGGGGCAGGAGACAACCGTGCCGAAGAAGGCCGTCCCGCAGGGGGAGGAACAAGGGCTGTCGGCGGCGCCCCCGGCGGCCCCTTCTCGCGCTCTAGCGCGCCCACCTCAGCCCGGGAGGCTCTGCGCCGCCGGCCGGGGGCGAGCGGAGGGGCGGGGCAGCCGCGAAAGCCGAGCGCCCCTTCTCGGAGCGCGCGCCCGTGGGCCCGCGCGCGGAGTCGGCCCGCCCCGGCCCGCGGCGCCCCCGCCCCCTTGGGCGCTCCGTAGCCGTGACGTGCGCGCGCCGAGGCCGGGGACTAGGCTGGGCGCCGGCGGGCGGGCGGAGACGGACCCGGGATCTGTCCGAGCAGGAAGCTAGCAGGATCCCGGTCGCCGCCGCCCCGTCTCAGAGGTTGTCCACGTCGTCGCCCTTTTCGCTCCACTTCATCACCTTTCACCCCGCCCTCCACCTCTCCGGCCACAGGTAGCCTCCCCGCCGCGCACCTGCCCTCGCGTCCGCACCGGTGAGTGACGTGGAGCCCCTGCTTCGGGGCGTCAGCGTCAGGGCCTCGCTGCCCCGGCCCGCCTTGCTTCAGGGCCTCCTGAGGCCGTCCGGGGGCCGACTGCTAGTTTCACCTCCTGAGGACTCCTGTGAGTGAAGCAGGTGATGGGTGGGCCCGGCCGGCGGCTCACGGTAGTCCCAGGGCTGGTTCTCATTTCCACAAGACAATGAGAGTCTCCTTTCATGGGTTTATCGTCACCAAGATACCTTTGTGTATCTACTCTAGCTCCCAGGTAGAAGCAGAGCACTCAGGTGACCCACTCTGACTTGGACACTCCGTGATAACTTTCCCCTAAGTAAACAAGCGTAAAATTCAGTGTAGGAATAGTGCCGTTTGTTCTGAGATCTGAGGATCAGATGCCAGCCACTATTAATAGTTTAATCATGTAGGAGACCAGGTTGGGACTGTCTAACGATATAATTTTAGTCTTTAGGTTGTCCAGTACTTTGACTGTGTTAATTTATATAGGTGCTACTGAACAAGAGCTTTTTATATTTGTTAATTTCCAAAAACTCCTTAAAACCATTAAAATGCTCCAACCCGGGGATTTTAAGTAGAAAATAATTTGGTAGGGTTATTACTAGAACATTCGTGTCGGAAATATATTTCTATACAGTTTAAGAGAACAGGTTATATTTTATCTGGCGTAAAGTTGTGGTAGAGGAGTGCTTACATCCTAATTTACAGATGTTAATGAGCAACGAGAACACTGTCCCAATTTCACAGATTGCTGTACATGCTAAAAGTTTCATTTGCTGTTATGCTCTGGTGGTGTAGATGCAATGTATCTAAATATAGTCAGGGTTTGAGAGTTTTAGAAATTCTTAAGATTTAATTGAAACTATTCACACCCTAAAATGTGAATCTTGAACTTGGGCTAGAGTGGTCATGGTACAAAGGTTGGCAGCAAAACGGCTTATCTGTACAAATTAACTAAACTTCATAGATATCTTGGGTTGTGCTTTTACAATTGGAAATTGTTTAGTGAAAAAATTACCTTGGTGTTTTTTTATCATTAATTTTAGAAACATTACAAATTGGGCTATAGCCAGAGCTTGAAACAATGCAGCCATTCAAAATAACTCATTGACTTTTAAATATCCAGCTCATTTTGAGTGTTTTAATTGCGCAGGAATTATATGCACAGTGGTAAACAGAAGTCATTTTAGTCTTAAGCAGATTTGTCTATTGAGTTTGTATGTTCTATGTGACATACTGTTTTTCCAGTTTGAGTTACATTTTTGTTTTCAAAAACTAAAAGGGAGTAACAGAAGTGATGAATGACTTTAAGAAAAGATTATCATGATTAAAAACTCTAAATATATATTATATAAAACTGTAACATATATTCTTCATTAGTGTCTAGAAACATGAGCAAGAAAAATGTAATGAGCTATTGCAATATTTAATGTAAATTAATGCAAGTTATTAAAAACAGATCATAAATCATAACTCATGATGCTTCTCTGAAGTGGATTTTTTTCCCTCTATTTATGTTTATGTGATCAAGTTTTAAAATAACAGTGGCCAGGAAATCTGAGAGAGGCTGAAGGCTCTTTTCTCATCCTGTTGTGACTTTGCCTGGAGAATGTGGAGTATCATGTAGCCCATTGTTTAGATAATTGGGCTGTCTCTGGGTTCTAAAGTACAGTTCTTTTTAGAAAGTTTTAAAATTTTTGACCATGTGAGGTTTGAATAAATATAAGCATCCAAAACATTTTTTTGGAAAATTAACCCGTTTTCACTGTTGATAATTGAAGCTTCATTTTGATATTTAAAAATGTCAATTTTAAAAAGATTCCTAACCTTTGATTTTTTCATTTTTGTATATTAAAACATTTTCACTAAAAGACTGAAAAAGGTATTACAGCTTTAATAATTTTCATACAGTTTGTGATCCCCTTAATGAGGTACTTCATAATAATTTCTGAACTTTAGTAGTATAAGATCATCACCCCTTTATTAGGCATCTGCCATAATCAGAACGTTAACTGAGGGATTTGATCTACAAAATAACTTTCAGGGTTGGTGGTCTTGTCCTTTTACACATGAAGAAATTTAAGCTTAGAGTATTCAATATTTGCTCAAGGTGTTACAGCTCCAGAGGAACAAAGTCTGGATTCACACCTAGGTCTTCTGACCATGAAACCCGTCTTTTCCACCAGACCAGGTTGCCTTGATCTCAGTTCATTTGGTAGACTGTTCAAATAAACCTGCAGAACTGGTATTGTGTTAAAGAATGGAACTTGAAGAAGGCACACAGGACTGAGGATGATATAGGTCATGAATGAGGCTCTGAAACTAATGTTGAATTTTCTGTTTTTTTTCATTCTTACGTTGACAGCTTTGAACATTGATAATGGTGTTGCTTTATCATTTCTGATGTAAATTCCAATTTTAGTATATGTGGTGCCGAAGTGAGCACTCCGATGTAAATTCCAGAAAATTATACAAATTGTGCACTTTTTATTTTGATGGGTTTATAGGAATTAGAATTAGGCTGTAATATAACACTGGTTTTCATTGTAGATAAAATAGTACAGTGTTCCTGTTTCAGATAGAACTTTATATTTTCCTCAAATGAGTTAGATCGTTGCCCATAAATGCAGTAAGCTGTTTTTTAAATATTACATAATTAACTTCATAATCTTTGTGAGGGGGCTTGTTTTCAAAGGATGATTAAATTCTCACCTGTACTATTAGAACAATTTTTTTTATGGCATGTGTTTATTTCAGGAATGTCCCTTGAGCTATAATAGACATAAAGAACAAAAATGAGCACACAAAGTCCATCTTTTGTAACAAAGTAGGAATCATTTCAGCAGTAGAATGTAGTTGGGTAAATGAGAAGAAAAATGGTAAGAAGGCTGGGTTGGGTGACTATGTTTACAGGTTTTTTTTTTTTTTTTTTAAGATTTTATTTATTTGACAGAGAGAGACAGCAGGAGAGGGAGCACAAGCAGGGGCAGTGGGAGAGGGAGAAGCAGGTTTCCCGTTGAGCAGGGAGCCTGATGCGGGGCTCAGTCCCAGGACCCTGGGATCATGACCTGAGCTGAAGGCAGACGCTTAACGACTCGAGCCATTCAGGCGCCCCTACAGGTGTTTCATTATTTGGTTTGAACTATTAGGAACTTTTCCTCCCGAGGATCCTCTTATTCAACTGTAAATACAAGACCATCATCCAAGAGCTTAATATAAATTATTAATGGATGATCTGTAACACATCTGCATGTGTGTGTATATGTATGTGTAGATAATTAAGAACTAACTGAGGTCAAAAAAGCTTAAATCCTATTTTTGAGGCATTATATAATATTCAAAGGAACAAGGAAGTTTAGCATTTAAAACAGCTATACTTTTATTTGACAATTTTTTTTATTTTTTTATTTTTATTTTTATTTTTTTTAAAGATTTTATTTATTTATTTGAGAGAGAGAGAGAATGAGAGATAGAAAGCACGAGAGGGAAGAGGGTCAGAGGGAGAAGCAGACTCCCTGCTGAGCAGGAAGCCCGATGCGGGACTCATCCCGGGACTCCAGGATCATGACCTGAGCCGAAGGCAGTCGCTTAACCAACTGAGCCACCCAGGCGCCCCGACAATTTTTTTTTTAAAGATTTTATTTGACAGAGAGAGACACAGCGAGAGAGGGAACACAAGCAGGGGGAGTGGGAGAGAGGAGCAGGCTGCCCGCTGAGCAGGGAGCCCGATGTGGGGCTCCATCCCAGGACACTGGGATCATGACCCGAGCCAAGGATAGACACCTAACGACTGAGCCACTCAGGCACCCCTTATTTGACAAATTTAATGGACTATTAGTAATCTTTTTTTTTTTTTAAAGATTTTATTTGACAGAGAGAGACACAGCGAGAGAGGGAACACAAGCAGGGGGAGTGGGAGAGAGGAGCAGGCTGCCCGCTGAGCAGGGAGCCCGATGCGGGGCTCAATCCCAGGACCCCGGGATCATGACCTGAGCCGAAGGCAGATGCCCAACGCCTGAGCCACCCAGGCGCCCCGGACTATTAGTAATCTTAAAATATACGTATTAGAATATTTTTCTGTTTATGGTCTTGAAAAATAAACTTTTCATATTTAGTATAAGAATGACATGGTAATTTGAGAAATGACCACAAGTCCACAAAAAGTTCTCCCTATAAGTGCTGAAGCATAGACTGTAAAACCAGAAGAATGAATCTGGCATCTTTAGAAATCTGGTTGGTGTTAAAGAGAAGGGAAGTCCTTTTCTATGCGGAAAGCTTGCCTCCAGTGAAACCAGAATGTTGAAGAACATTCCCTGGGTGATATTCACATAGGTGACTATTTATATCCAGGCTGAGTAATGCCCACAACTAATGAGTAATGCCCACAACTAAGGCGGTGCTCTTGACAAAACCACAGGCATCTTTCATGTAAGTTACATCACTTGTTATTTTATTTGACAGTAACCTGCTGCTTAACCTTTACAAGGTAAGGTATTGAATATAGCAGAATTTTAAAAATTTCTATTACATGTGGATGGATGTCTTTTTCAACAAATAATCTACTGAGGGCCTACTGTGTTTGAAATATGACTGTCGGTAGGAACTGGTTCTTCTTTGTACTGGCAGGTCTTTGGATCTAGGAAATATAAAGAGTGGCAGCAACATAAAAAGAAAGATGAATAGGAATACCCATTTAAAATCTGATGATGTTTATATCAAATTTAAATAATTTACATTTGTATGGCACTTTATTGTTCAGGAAATCATTTTATATACATTTGGTCCTTAAAACAACTTGTTGAAGTAGACGTGGTAAACTTACTCTTACTCTGCAGATGAGAAAATGGGGACAAAAAATTAAGCACCATGTTCAAAGTTACATATGTGGCTGCTTAGAAGCATAGCTGAGAATGGAACTTCTGTGTATTTCCATAGTAGATCACAGTTACCTTCTAGGTGTTAGGGTTAACCTCTTAACAGGCACTTACTTCATTTTGTGGCTTCTATTTGGATGGTTCAGGAAATTCTGAAAAGTCGGCATCACTAAAGTGTTAAATGTTAAATAGTTACTGGGTTTGTTTTTGTTTTTGTTTGAATGTAAGGTAGGAGATGAGCATGATGCATTATTATGGGACTCCTTTAACATTTTTAGTAGATTAGTGGAGCTGAGGTTGGTAATTAACTTTTCTCGTTGGAGAGTTTTTAAAGATTTTTTTATTTTATATGTAGAGAGCATGCGCACATGCACGTGGGTGAGCATGGGGGGAAGGGGAACAAAGGGAGAGGGAGAGAGAGAGAGTCTCAAGCTGACTGCACTGAGTGCAGAGCCACATGCAGGGCCTGATCTCATGACCCTGAGATCCTGACCTGAGCTGAAACCAAGAGTCGTCGCTTAACTGACTGTGCCACCCAGGAGCCCTGGGTTGGAGAGTTTTTAAAGAAAAGCCCACGATTTGTTTTAAAAAAGAAAGGCGAGCTGTGTGGTAGAGCTGGCTTCAGAGGTGGCGTCTTTGAGAAAAAGTGAGAGTTCCAACTTTCCTCTCAGCCTGAGAGGTTTTCAGTGGGGAGGGTCACCGTGTCAGAGAAAAAGCAGCCGGTAGACTTGGGTCTCTTGGAGGAAGACAACGAGTTCAAGGAGTTCCCTGAGGAAGACTGGGCTGGCTTAGATGAAGATGAAGGTGCACATGTCTGGGAGGATGATTGGGATGATGACAGTGTAGATGATGACTTCTCCAATCAATTAGGAGCTGAACTACAGAAACATGGTTATAAGATGGAGACCTCATAGCATTCGGAAGAAGTGTTGAAGCAACCTAAACTTGAACTGTTTACTAAAGTCTAGGACAGAGAACCCAGAATGGGATACTTAAAAAAATATGTTTATTTCATTACCTGCTTGGATTTATTTTTTTTTGTAACACACACACACAAAATGTTTTGCTCTTAAAAAAAAAAAGGAGAAAAATACTGTGGGGAAATTTTGAAAATAACTTTGTTACTTGGCACATTGGTATTGATCTGATAATTATGCTTGCTTTTGTAAAGATTCACTAATGAGCTAAGGTGTGTCTGTATTGGTACCTTTATGCCTTCATTCATTTGACAAATATTTGAGTTTCTGCCATGAGCCAGGCACTGTTCTAAGTGCTGATGTTACAGTGATAAATTAAGACCAAGTCCCTGTGCTGAGTGACATTTTATTGTTGTTTTGAATTAAGTTAATTATAGACTGTTCATACTAGTATGTAATCAACAGGGCTGACCTAAAGTTTGGAAATAGTTGTCAAAGTTGTGCAATTTGAGGGTTACTAAGAGACTCATTTACTTTAAAATATTCTACTCCTGGCCTTCAGTCCACTGTTACCAGTTTGCTCCTAATAAGTAAGAGTATGTTCCATCTTTTTTCACAGTCTTGGGAACACAAGGCTAAGAGAAAATAAATGGGACCTAGGATTGATATGTTGGAATTAGCAGCTAATGTTTATTGAGTTTTTACCATGTGTTAGTGTGTCAAGCAAGTACTTTATGTACATTATCTCAGTTAATCACTACATGACTTACTTTAGTGCATGTGACATTATGACCCACAATTTACACATTGGAAAACTGAGGCATAGAGATGTTAAATTTGCTCAAGCTCACAGCCAGTACTTGGTGGAGACGGAATTTGGATGTACTTACCATGCAGTAGGTAAGAGTAGAAAGAATACTGATACATACAGACTTGTGATGTTCTACCAGTATGTGATGGCATACTGTGTAGGTGGAAGGCCTTGGTGAGTGATGGGTGGGTCAAGCTCAAGACAGCTTGTTGTGGGGAGGGAGTGGGCAGTGAGGCTTATTGCTTGTTTCAACTGCTTCGCCCTTAGGCTTAATCCTTTTTGTGATAGTCCTGAAGCTCCAGAGTTGCATTTATATAGAAGTGCTTGCTTACCCAGCTCACAGGTAAGAGGGACTGGCAGACCAGAGATGATCCTGGTTTTGCCAGTGACTATTGTAGTCAGATTACTTAGTTTCTCTGGGCTTCACTTTTCTCATCTATAAAATGGAGGCAATGATGTTATCTACTTGGTGTTTTTGTGAGGACGGAATTAAATAATAATACATGTGAAACACATATCACAGTGGTGTGTTAAGTTAGTGTGCATTGTTATTGTTACTATGTTCTTGTTTTTTGGTTTCTTTGACCATGTTTAATGTGGAATGTTCATTCAAAAAGAAAAAAGTGTATTGGAGATGTTGGTGGAATCTTAAAGTTGGCCAAATTTAAGAAGTTCTGAAATTTAGGTGTGCATCACAATTATCTGGGAACTAGTGAAAACATTTGTCAGAAAGGTGTGGGTGAGGCCTGGGAATTAGCATTTTAAAGGGTGTCTCGGTGGATTTACTTGCACACCAAAATTTGAGAACCACTGGTTTAAAACTTTTCTTTATCCTATGCCTAGGGAAGGCTTCAATAATAACAAAAAAGTGTTTGGATTAACCAGGCAGTGTATGGTAGAAGGAAGTGAAATATCGATTATCAGAATTCTTTCATTGATTTTTTTTCTTTTTTTTTTTTTTAATTTATTTATTTGACAGAGAGAGACACAGAGAGAGAGGGAACACAAGCAGGGGGAGTGGAAGAGGGAGAAGCAGGCTTCCTGCGGAGCAGGGAGCCCAATGTGGGGCTCGATCCCAGTACCCTGGGATCATTACCTCTGTTAAGTTTATTTGGTGCTTATAGGCATTTATCTTGAGAGGACAGGACAGTGTTAAATTTCACACCTAGCTTTAATTGTAATGATTTTTTCAGCTTTTAACCAGCTTCATTTGGAAGTGAGCTGGTTATATTTAGTCTTTAAACAATTATACAAATAGCAATAGTAAGTAATACTTGAATAGATATTAAGACCTTGTTAAACTTTTAAAATTGGATTTCTTTATGTAATGTACTGTTTTGAATTAACCAGACTTGGTATTGTTAGCTGCATCAGGCAGGCTCCCAGCAGGAAAGAGATTTCATCCTTGATGGTGCAAAAGAAGAGCTTATAGAGGTTAGAGAACAAACAAGGGTGGTGGGGGGGGTGGGGAGCACCCAGGGAATAGCAATGGTGAGAAGCCCTTAATTCCCCAGAGATTACCAAAACTGAAAGTTGAGAGCTGGCATCGTGGAGGAGGGCCCTAGGAACTGTGGCTTTGAGGCAGTCAGGCAGGGAGGGAGGGGAAGTTCCCTGACCTCCCTCTGTCTTTGGGTCTTGTTCATTGGCTTGCATTGCTGGAACCCACCTGGGGACCCTAGGTGATGATCTATGTTGGCTCATCCTCCCAGGGCAGGAACAGAGCAGAGGAGGGATTGGGGGTTTGGTGGAGCAAGTGGAGAATAAATGTGGAGAATAAATAGGGCATTGATTAGAACCTCTGGGAATTTTTAGCATTTCCTTGGTGCAGTTTAAATAACTTTGAGAGTTGTGATAAATCTCAAAAATGCTTGAGACTACTTACCTTATACATGCTTAGAAAATAGTTCATTCACTTTCTCATCTAATTGGACAGTTTTTTTAGGACTTTTTTTTTTTTTTTTTTTTTTTAGTAATCTCTGCTCAATATGGGGCTTGAACTCACGACCTGGAGATCAAGAGTTGCATGCTGTACGGACTGAGACAGCCAGGCTCCTCTTAGGAACTTTTAATGATCCATATAAGCCAAGGAGAAACATATCCTAAGTCTATTAACATAAAACCCTTTTATTAATATGTTGTACCTGAGGTACAAGCTCAGAAATGAGGTTTCTGAAATTAGTATTTGTTTGAAAGAGTCAGTGTTTTTCATTAGAAAAGATCTTTTAATGACCAAGTTTTTTAAAAAGAATTTTGGCGAGAAGAGGTCTTTGTCTTGTGGAATTTGTATCTCCTGTTCCCCTGGACTCTTGATAGCAAAAAGACCGGAACATAGGCTTAATGTAGTAACAGTTCATAGAAGTAAGACTGTTGTGAAATAATTGTTCTTCCTCCCCAAGTCTTTTTAAAGACACATTAAATTTCTGTATAAATCTGTTGCAGTTTGCTGTTATTCAACTGTCTTCTGTTAATGTCAATTTTACCTAGTTAACCTGAAATCTGGGTACAAGTTTAAATACGTGTTTTTTATTTTGGACAAATTCCTGAGGATTACTAAAGAAAAGGTTTCTCTTAAGAGACGAGATGGTATGAAGGTCCCTAGGATATGAGCAGTACTCCCTCCAAAAACAATTAAGATTATAATTTATATTTTCTTTCTACTCTTGAAGGTTCTGGGGAAAAAGTGCAAGATTTTCTCAGATTAAGCAAAATATATGTATTTTTAAAAGATTTTATTTATTTATTTGACAGAGAGAGACACAGCGAGAGAGGGAACACCAGCAGGGGCAGAGGGAGAGGGAGAAGCAGGCTTCCTAATGAGCAGGGAGGCGGATGTGAGGCTCAATCCCAGGACCCTGGGATCATGACCTGAGCCGAAGGCAGATGCCTTAAGACTGAGCCACCCAGGTACCCCTAAGCAAAATCTTGCGATACACCTACAAAATGATTGAGACTGCTTGTCTCAAGTACAACTAGGCTGGGTCTTGTTCACAGCTTCCAGAAAGGGAAGAACTAACCGTATTGCCTAGGGCTGAGCAAAGTAATCAAATAACAAACACCTGGCTATGAGACTTTAAAATATAAATAAAGGATACTTCTGGATGTAAATGATATAGTTTGGTTTTCTTTAAACAAATAAGTTTATAAACATAAGTTTGTAAGACTTTAAAAGAATACGGGAGGCACCTGGGTGGCTTGTCAATTAAGGGTCTGACTCTTGATGTCAGCTCAGGTCTTGATCTCAGAGTCTTGAGTTTAGGCTCTGAGTTGGGCTACAAGCTGGGTGTGGAGCCTATTCAAGGGGAAAAAAAAAAGAATATGGTACAAAAAAGAAACAGGTTTGGAGTAAACCACAGAGCACCTGTGCTTGAAATAATACATTTAGACATGTTCTCTGTAGGTGGTCTTTTTTTCCTTCTTTGAAAAAGAGATTTCAAACTTTTTGGGATCTTCTAAACACATACTCTTTGTTTTGATTTGGTGTTGATAGAATTAGTATCCTGAAGGGGAGAATTGAGGCTGTTGGTTTTTCCTATGCTCTTTGAATTTCCCTGATTTCAGGGTTGAGTTATTCCAGGGAGAACTTTTCTCCAGTTCCTTGTTATTTTTTTTCTAAAATTAGATGAAACAACTGTGTTTTGGTTTGTGGGCATGATTTGCTGTCTGTTATCCTTTTGGTATTTTGGGGAAGAACAAAATGTATTCATGCGTTTGTGTTTTCAAGAGGAATGTATTAGCTTCTCTGCTCTTCCTGTCCGTCATTGAAGATGAGAGCAGATGATTTTATGTATCTTTAATCTTTTTGTTTGAGGTTTCAAAAAAAACTGCTGTGTTGGCCATTGAGATAATGGGGAAAAACAGATGAGTGCTTAGTGTAGAAGTAGGCACCGTGTATTCAATGGTAAATTGAAGTTTATATTAGTTTGAGAAAGATTTTCTATCAGGCATGGTGGGGAGGGGAGAGAAGGATGGGAATTGAATGAGTTTGAACATATGACAGATTTCACTACAGATGTTTTAGAAACCAGAAAAATATATTTATTTCAGTCAGAATTTTATATTTCATAGATACGTTCTACTGATAAGTTTGATTTTTTTTGAGGGGGGGTGTAGCATAAGTTAGGAATTTGTAGACCAGTTTAATTTGGTGATTTTAATGAGTTATTAGCAAAAATGGAGCTAGCCTGAT